TGGATGCGATTGTGTTTCAAAAAAACTCGTCTGGAGACTTTCCAAGCCGTCATTATCAATCGCTGCTACCCCACCAACTTGAACTGAGGTGGTTAGTGCTTGAAAGTTGTGGGATAAAGATATGGGGGTCCTATAATCGCCACCGGAGTGTGAACAAAATCTGATATTTTGAACTTCCTACACTTCGAACTCTTAGGAAAGATTCTACCGACGACCAAGCGCAAATCTATTTTGATCATTTCGAGTTACTTATATTGCGAATTTTAATAATTATTGCTTCTTTGATATTTCTTGACTGTTCACCTGCAGGTTGTGCAACATGCATGCCAAAGTCAGTGACACTCACACCGGCTGATGGAACCAAGGGATCGATAACACCTGTGATAAAGTGAGTTGTACTAGAGATTTCTGCCCCTCAAAATCACATCGTACCTGAACTTACGGGCGAAACCAGCCCCTTCTCATTAGCCTGACCCTCTTTTTTGGCAACTTCAAATACGGCAGGGGACTGGAGCTGGTCAATGAGAAGGGAGCCAGTACTCGGGCTAGTACTGCTCAAACATTCAGTTCGCGATGCGATGTGTTTTCAATTGTGAGGGCTTATGTTGTGAGCGATTCGACAAGTGTGCATTGCCTGGCAGACCACAAGGGCTGCCATCGTCCACGAGCCCACATCGCTGGCAGCCCAAATTGCCTGCCATCAGTGGTAATGAACTTGCTTCATTCACCCAAGATAAAGCAGTTTATTCCATTTTTGGAAGTAATAACCAATAATTCGTATGATCGCGGAATCTGTCCTCATAAAGTGAAACTACTGAAAAAATCGAACTTTTTAAGTGGCACATTTCAGAATGCTGCCAAACACCATGCAAGGATGCCGTCAGATGAATATAATTTGTAAAACTCCAGCTGGTTTCACCAGATCGAACATGATCGTGAGCTTGTTTGAAACTACACAAATCTAGAAATCTTCAGAGTCAAACCACCTAAACAATTCAAAATAGTTAACGTGAAAGCTGAATAGTTTCATTACAGTTCAACGGAGTTGCTCCAGCGAAAGCCGGCAAAGACGTCACAGCTCTGGTGTCGTGCTTCCAATCTTCATGGCGCACCTCCCTTGCAGGCTCATATATGTGAGGAATGTTTAGGGTGGAATCGTCTCTTGGAAAATCTGCACCCTAGCTAAACGAAACCCTTACGCTCCTACAGCGTTGTACTTTAGGGGAGGCGTGGCCAAAATCTGTTTAACATGGGAACGGGTTGGAACATGCGAGCTTTTAACATGGAACGCGGTTGAACAAAATCCGCATGCGCAATCGGCTGCCAAGTGGCGGATGGTCAAAAAAATCTCGCACCTTGTTAGTGCGTGCTGCCCACAGCCAGCGGTCGGTCCCTACCGTGCGGCTTTCGGAGAATTTGCTGTGACCTCACTCTTGCCAATCAGAAAGTTGTCACGCTCCCCCCTGTCCACCACCATCCCCTTATGGTCGTTGATCTATAGATTTATTCTAAGACCACCCTATACACAAATCCGGCTCACCCTTTCCCTCCAAAATCCCTCAAAACTAGCATGCGCTGACAGAGTACATATACCTCTCCGGAAATTCTAATATTTCCTATTATTTCCCGTATCTTTATTTCTCCCTTATCTTCTCGTTATAGTTTACCGACACCCCCCACAATTCAAAAAAACTACGACTCCCCTCTGTGATGCATACAGTGTCCCAAACGTAGGGTTGACCCTGCCCACAGCACCTTTTCCGATGATGTTTTTCGAAGTGCGCCAAGCATTTGCTGCCCATTAGGATCATGCAGATGATTGAATTAGGCCGCTTTACTTTACAAAAACTCCCGCTAAAAATAGCGCCCGCTACGGGAATGAGCTGAAGGAAAACCCTCTCCAAAAATATCCGCCACTCAAATTCGAGCGCTTGGCTTCACCTGGATCCGCTCTTGGCCCTGGTGAATAATATAAGGGCATATTTCCGTGCTATTTCGCTCCCTTCAAAAGCAATAATGCGATGGGCTGAGAGAAGGAGCTGTTTTAGAGACCTAATTGGTGGACGAATGTCGGGGGAGGGGCGGGGACGAGGATGTTTGTGAGAAGCGGCATAGGCAGGAGAGATGGAAGGGCAGAGAATTGACCCTTGCTTTACAAGCACTCGCTTCTCATAGTATACCGAGTCACCATCATGCGACTCCCATGGGAATCCTGACGGAAATCATTGTGTGTGGCACTTTCTGGGGAATCTCCAAATTTTTGATTCCTTACTACCTTTTAATTCAATGTAATTTAGCTATGTGAACAGTGTGAAATGCAGAGCGACCTGAACTGAATCACTTGGGGACGAACGATTCTGCACTGCAATCTACATAGAGGATTTTCTTGTACTGCTACTGGAATGCCACCACATATTGCCTATTTATTCATTAGATCGTCAATCAATATTATCACATGATAAATGAATTCGAACTGCTTTTTGGTTTTTCCGTGGCTATTTGTTGTATACATCTTCAGTTTTCTGTTCTTTATTTAGTAGTAGATTAAGGGGCGGGGCTGTGGGCGGGGCTAATCGATATACCACCCATAGAAGGTTTGTACAGGACTCCTGATCTTTACTTCTTTGACTCCACCATATGTCAAAAGAAACACTAGAGAGCTTCAAGGTTATCAATTGTTATTAATTGTTCGTACTGTACGCCGGACGCGATCGCGATCACATTTGATGCTGTCGTTTTTGGCGCAGAGTATAAACGCGTCCTTGAAAAATCGAAAACCCTCGAACTTTTACTGGAAAGCTTGCGGTTAGCGCAAAAAACAGTGGTGTGATTGAGCCTGTCATTTTGGGACCCCTTCGGAAGGCGGACATCTAGTGGTCCCGGGAGCGGGCTTTTTTCGATGTGGAAAACGGCAGCGAGATTAATTTTAATGGGTGGCCTTCCAATCCAATTTATTAAGCTTTGAAGCGGTCACACAACCATTCGCAAGCCGATAAAACCTTATAGGATGGAATAGAACAGGTGTGAATGGCCACCTGTTCTATTCCATGCTATAAGAGTCGTGACAAGGGGTAGATGAATTTAAGGGGTACATTTTGTGCGGTGAAGCCTGCATGTTTTCATTTGGAGATAATTGGGCCATGTTGGGAGGTATTTGCAATGATATAAGTAGCAATAAGCACACTAAAGAGCATATTTTGGAGCTCACTGGGAGTTACTCAGTTTATCGAATTTCCTGCCTTTGTAGACACATTCCATGACCTCAGAGTGTGGATGGGGCGGTTCAAATGTGCAGGCAAAGCGGACCACATGTGGGAAAAATAGCGGAAGGCGCAGCTAAACTTGCTCGAATAAGGTCTATTTTCTTCGCAGACCATTTTGATTATTGTACGAGTTTATATTATCAAAGAACTCGGTATAGATTAGAAAGATCTCAAGCGAGAGAGTGTTCAGTGGTGAGAGACGCAGACACTGATTTCGATGTCCGGAAGAAGTGACTTGCGACTTATTAGACTCACTCAAACACCTCCAGGCCACCAGCAAACTTACCGCTCATCTTTGAGTTTCGGGCTGGGCCCTGTACTCTGCGCCTCTGGAATGGACAACCACACTTGGAGGAGTGTGGTTGTCTCATTCTGTCTCAAATCTCAGATCAACCCCCGTTAAGGTCACCAGAAAACCTTCGTCTCTTGAGATGTCTTTGTTGGTCCCAGACCCGTATAAGGATCTTGTAATGTGGTTGCTCTCAGCTAATTGTGCTAGGACCAGATTGCGTTCAAATGGCATTATGGTTCTGAATAAATGTAAAACATGTGGCGCATTTAGGGGGGGGAGGCTGATCAATGCCGGTCCATCTCTGGTAGCTTATTGTCGCTTGTTGAGATTTATAAATGAGGTTGGTCGGAATGTAGACCGGGCTCCGGTGAATGTGAGTGCGATGTGTTCAACCGCGGATCCCACTGAGAACAAGCTTACTCCTCATTTTGTGTCGAATCCTAGGCTTCAGCCCTAACCTTTCCTTCATAGGAATGCGAAGCATATCGTGTGATCAACCGAAGTGATCCGTCTGTTTAATTGCTTTTGTTTTGTTATTCGCCTTTATTTATTTGGGACCACGACTGTCATCCCGCGTAAGTAACAAAGATCACAGAATGCTGAATCAGCGGTTGACGGCTAATCAGTTCTCGTGCCGACTGGAAGTCGAGAAACTCTCATAAACAACAAAATTTTATGTAAAATCTATGTAAATCCATAATTCTGTACATAAGGCACTGAGGTAAACATTATGGACCTTGTTTTTCCACCAGGCAGCATCGTTCTCGACACTATTACGCTTTAGCACATATTTTCCCCCTTCCCCTATTTCCCTTTCCCACACTTCGAAAACTGAGCTGGAACTCTACCGCAATTGGTCTAAGACTGTGGATTTGGTTATAGAGTTGCCCCGGGGGTAGCAGGAGTCGTGAAACACGACATTCGTTTAGTGCGGAAGCGGCCGGCCAGGGGGGGGCGCCACCGGATGACTAACCAAAGATCCAGTCACTCCTTGGATTCATCAAAATGCTGGAAAGTTGCTTATAATAGGTAGCTAAACCCGTAATATCTATCACATTATTTGGTTTAGAGTGAGCATGTAATCTCCGCTACGAGCTCCATCGCAGAAGTTATGTGATAGCAAGGTGAACCGTGAACCGTGACGTTCGCATTTTTGCAGAAATTTCGCTACCCTCTCCTTTAGGGGGTCTTGATGCGAACTACCACCACCACCATGAGACTCAGGAGGCTCCCCCAATATAGACCCTCCCTAGCCCACCCCGACCGCCACCCTCGCCGTCATATCTTCATGGTCGTTTCTATAGTATTTCATTCTCAGAACGCCGCTCGACACGCCCAACCCCGCCACTTTTCCTCCCTAAAGGCGTTCAACCGGGAGAGGGTTATATCTTACCTGGCCCATCACTCAACGAATTACTAATCTAACCCCTAAACGCGACCCCTCTTCCAAAACCCAACCCCTAAATGCGACCCCCTCGTTCCCCACTAACCTTAATGATAGCGCCGACACATGTGGCCCCGAGAGAAACTTTCTAGCCTAAACCTTAGTCATGGACAGATTTCGATAAAAATCAACAAGCTTAGTTCTTGAGGATGGGGCAATACAGGGCGAAGCCTTTGCCTCGTTTTTTTTTCTTCGATGCATTGATATCTGACGGGTTTCAAACCTACCATCAGACTGCCGATTAAGTCTGACCGGTGCGCGCCATGCCCTTGACTTTCATTCCAAATCACAGATGCAAGGACCTGAACCTTCCAACCGCAATATCTCAGAATTGAATCGGAGCTGATACGTTATGCTGAACATCTTGTCAAAAACTGAGCAATGGAGAAGTGAGGCCCGCACGGTAATTGGAAGCGCAATTTCTCAATAAGCAAGAGATGCGGGTCCCAAATCCTGCCTGGAGCAAAAGTTTTGTCTACAACAGCATCCTGTAATCAATCTGATTTAGTTAGTTCGAAGCTCTCATTCTCTCTGCGAGGAACAGTGGTGCCAGACCTAACAAGGGAGGTCGTTCAGGGTGTGCCAAGCTTTTTCAAAACGGTCTTTTGCATGATATAGGGGCACATGCGGGAACCACAGAACCATGGTTAATTTTTCCTGAACGGCCCTCTGAATACCAGAAAAGGGGGTCCCTAGTCACACCTTTTTCACCAGTTTTTCAATCAAAGTCTATTTGTAAGGGTTACTGACGGTCCTAATCATGAATATGGTACTAATTATTCATGCTAACTCCATTTTGCGCGAATTTTGGAAACGTCAACTCGAAATGCAAAAATTTGTCACCACGAGGAATCGAACTAGGGACCCCTTTTCTGGTATTCAGAGGGCCGTTCAGGAACATGGTTCTGTGGTTCCCGCATGTGCCCCTATATCATGCAAAAAACCGTTTTGAAAAAGCTTGGCACACCCTGAACGACCTCCTTGTAAGTGGGATAACAGAAAGCACTCAAATTTGGCCTACTTAAGCTCCCTAAGTCAAAGGTGAACAGTCAACCGAGATCCAATTTTGCATCGAGATGCCGGTTTTGTTGAAAATGTTTATATTATAATTGAAATTATTAGGCGCTTGCTCCGTTAAATTGTTTGAATTTTTGCAGAACGGTGAACATTTTCAGATGTTCAATTCAGCTCTGCCCGTGGTGCTGGTTCTAATAACGCTGATATCTAACTCGCTGGTAAGCACTTGGCACTTGTAACCAGGGTCAACCGTCCGCCCAGCCGGTCCAGAAGTGGGGTCGCATTTGCAGTGTTTGTGAGGGAGTCATATGGCGGTGAGGAAGGTCAAAAGGGCTAGTTGGGGTTGATCGAGACTTCATAAAAGGAGGGGGTCGTAAATGTTTTCCTTACTTCGGCCAGCGACACGGTTGACTCTGCTTGTGGCTTGTATCGAAACGACAATAAAATTCACCATTTCAGGGATCGGC